TCCAAACATGTCTATATTTCTCATTTTCTATTTTTTCCCTAAACACAGAAAATTTATTCACTAAATATTTACTGTGAAGTCTACTCTAGGTCAGTCTTATGCAATATGTGGATACTAGAGATCCAAGTGCCAAGAATGTTGGATAAATAAGGACAAAAGAGGGAGGATATGGCTCTGGGTCCTGACCAGTTCCATGAAAAAAGGTGTATGTTTACCAAATCTGATGAGAACAGAGATTTGTCTCTGGCTCAGTTAAGACCAAAGTAACATATTGTCATTACAGTCAAAAAGTGGTCTGCAGCTTTGAAGGCCCATTGGAGGCTATACCCCCATGAGGCTGGTGATCTATGAGAACAGGAACTTCAGTGGTTTAGACAATGTCTGGGGGATATGGTGGAGAAATAATACAAACCTGGTAGGAAAGTGGCAACAACAAACAAATTCATATTGTTCAAAAACATTAGTGAATAACCCTTTGGTATTCTCAGACATGTCAGGGAGAGATAGGGGATTTGTCAGAGATTAAAATCCTGTGTGAGCAGGGAGAATATATATTCAATGTTAAAATGAGTTTGTTTACATGGTAATGAAGACCTGAGCCAAAGATTGGTCCTGATTTTTTACTATACATTTGTTTGTTTTCTTGTAAAGTGTTCATGTTGCCCACTGCATTGTAAACTACATGAGGGGCAAGAAACTTATTTTAGACACTAATTTTCTGGCACAGAGTACAAGTTCCTCAAATGTTTGCTAAGCATCATGGTAACAGGTCCCAAATTTGAGGCGTTCTCAAATGTTGCAGGCAATGAATGGTATAATAACAATGATAATACTACAATTCTGTGAACACAGAGTATGTGCCAGAAAATTTGTGTTTTGGGTGTTTACAAATGTTAATTAATTCAATCCTGATAACTAGCTTGGAAATTAGATACTTTGGTTTTAAATTCTGTTCCTGATATCTATTTGCTAATGACTTTTGGAAAGTTGCTTAATTTTTTTTTGTGCTCTGTATCATCATATATTAAAAAGAAAAGGGAGGAATAATACATATGTTGTAGGGTGATTGTGATGAGTATGTGTCCTTCAAATAGTAGAGAGCAATGACAATGCTCATTTCCATCCTTCTTTTCCTTCTCTTGTGTTACCTTGGCCTCAGAGCATAGTGCCTCTTTATATAAAGGACCATCCAAATGGTGTTTACTTAGAAATAACATGTATTATCTTCCCTTTCTTTCTTTCTTTCAAGTTTGTTTTCTTAAATGAAAGAGCTTTTAAGTTTTTGGTCAGAATGATTGTGCTTCACTCTTGCTCCAGATTGTTTTACGTGTGATTCCTCATTTTCCATCTCCACAGAGCTCAGTATGTTGGAGGCATCAAGGGTCATTGGGGAGAGGCATCCATCATTTTGACAACTTTTATGAGTTTACTGCTTGTGATGGTGATTATAGGAAAAGCTGCTTAAAAGCAATAACTGCCAGAGACACTTGATATTCATGGTACTGAATGAAAAAATATCTCCAAGTTTGGGTTAACAGAAAAAAAAAAATCAAAGAATAAGATGAAGAGATACTAAAATGCAAATGTGCCTCTAAAAGGCAGATCCCAATTAAGAAATACAGAAATATTGATTTCAGGAATAAATGAAACTAATTATATCCTATCCCAAAGGTGGAGATTCAGGATTGTGCCTCTTCCATGATGTCAAATTATCCACATAACAATATGTCCTTGAGTCCACTGTCTTAATATTTTGTCCATAAGACATCAATCATCTGGGATTTGGCTAGTTCAAAATACAGATTGTCATCACAAAATGAAATTAATGTCTTCTTGAGAGGTGTTATTATTGCTAAAATAAATGTAATCCTTCCATGATCATATCAAAAGTGTGTTCCACTGTTAAAAAAAAATGTAACCCATGTGAATGTGGCCCAATTATATTCAATAATAATAACTAATATTAATTGAGCATTTAGGATGTTTTACACCTCATGCTAGGCATTTAACCACATCTTCCCAGGTAATAAGAACTGTAGTCAGCACTACTGGGGTAATTAATCAACAATATCACAATGTTCTTCTCAAGCTCAGAATCAAATGAGATATAGTATGCAGGACTAGGGCAGATGGAAAACAAACTCTCATTTTTAATATTGATAAAAATTATTGAATAATGGTACTTTAGATTTGTAGCCAGAAGAAATAGTGAATGCTTCACTTCATTGTAAACAACCTTCTCTGCCAGGTACTGGATGAGCTGGACAACACAAACACTCTCCCCAAAGTAGCAATGCTTTCCCCATTATGTTTACAACATAACAGACAGCAGACTAGATCATGTGTTTCCTGGAGAAAAGATGACTCTGAAGAGAAAAGAAGGAACTGAACTGGGCAGACATTTACTTCTTCAAATTTTCTAATGAGATAGACTCTCCTCTGTGAGGAAGAATAATCGAAGAGGCAGAGAGTAGCTGCATGTGTTTCTCCTGTGATTTCCTTCCTCCCTCCCCCCATTGAAAGTAAAGGTCATGTTTCCTTCCCTCAGTGGAATTATGAGAAGAGAGAAATAGATAGCTACATTCCCAAAAAACACCATACTATTTACACAATTAATAACTGAGAAAACAAGCTTAAAATGTTAAATGACTTTCTTAGTTTCACAAAACAAGTAAAAGGCAGAAAACAGACTTATACCAAGTTTTTCAGCCCCCAAAGCTTTAACTATGAATGCCTGCAAATAATAAATCATTTAGCATCACAAATTTATAGAACACAGAGAAATTTGTGGTTTATATAATCTGTAACATGCAAATAATATTTAGATGATTAGAATAAGTACCACTGTGCAATTAATACTAAATTCTATTTTTTTTTTTGCCACACTGTACGGCATGCGGGATCTTAGTTTCATGACCTGGGATGGAACTCCTGCTCCTGCATTGGGAATGGGGTGTCTTAACCACTGGACTGCTAGGGAAGTCCCTAAATTCTATTCAAGCTTTAATTTTTAACTTATTTTTTTTCCAAAGAGAATAAGGTACTCAGGAAGATCAAGTGGAGATGGTTTTCCAAGCAGGCAGGAAATAACTGATAAGTCACAGGAGCATGAATAATTATGCTATGCTCCAAGAATCACAGATAATTCCATGAGGATGGGTCTAAGGGATGCTTGCATGTAGGATTATGGCAGAAGCTTATGACTGGAAAGCTGGCAGAGGATCAAACTAAGATGCAGTTTGCAATATGTGCTAAGAATTTTGGAATTCCTCCTGAAGTTATCAGGAGTCCTCGAGATTTGAAAGAGTATCATATTGTATGCTTCAGAGTTTAGAAATATCACTCTGACAGGTATATAGAGGGAGCATCAGAGTGGAATGTGATTGAAGATAAGGAGACCATTTTGGAGACTGTTAAATAGTCCAAGAAAAGAAAGAGGATAAAGTCCTGTTTTAGAGAAGTAGAAATAATTACATAAAGAAATTGATAGATTCATAATCTCAGTGAATATTCAAAGAATATACAATTATACTCAGTGAACAATTCAATGCTGGGGGCAGATGAAGGGGGGGACTTGTTCCTACTAACTGAAATATGATGATGACTACTTATTGAAAGGGGGAAATAGACAATTTGAGGTGGAGGATGACAATAATTTCTGTTTGATCATATTGTGTTTGATAGTCCACTGAGTCCCTCCAAGTGGAGATGTCCAGTAGAAAACTGAACATAAAGTCCTGAACTCAGAAATCTCTTTTTAAGTAATACATTTGTAAGTCATTTGATTAAAGAGGTAGAATTACAGGCAGATGGGATCAGTCAGAACATGTATACGAAATGAGAAGAAAAATGATCAAATAATACCTATTTAGGGATATTAACATTTAAGAGGTAGGAGATGGAAGAAGAGAATATGATTGAGGAATTAGGAACAGGCGATTAAATTTGAGATCACATATCTTAGTGAAAATGAAGGAAAGAAGTTATGAGAGGAATTGAAAAATTTCCAGTGGATTTGATGATTAAGAAGCCTCATTGTTAACCTTTATTTGTGAACTTTTCAGGGTTAAAACAATATTGTGAATGGATGAGTCAATGAGAGGTTAGAAAATCCAAAGAATGAGTGTGTTTTGATGTTCCAAGAAGCTGAGCTTTAGAATGAAAGACAATCATAAAGAAGTAGCCTCTAAAATAGGAGGAAGAATTGGTACAGATAAAATATTTTTATGTGTGTGGTTTGGACATTGAGAGATTTTCTGTTGACTCTTCTTTTATTTGAAGTTAAAGCCAGGATATCCTGAAACAGTGGATGAAGTTCATGGTATTAGAACCTTGAGGAGGACAGAAAAATAAAAAAAAATCAACTCTTGTCAAGAAAGGCAAGAGACACAGAAAGGTTATGGGAGAGCATTAAGACAAGGAAATATAAATGTGACTTTCAATGAGAAAAAAGGAATTAATAAGATTGAAAAGAATTTGAATGATAAAAGAAACCCCTGCCAAAACACTGGGTACATTCCTATATCATAGAAAGCACTTATCACACTTTTTAGAAATTACATTTTATATTAATCTTTTTTTTAACATCTTTATTGGAGTATAATTGCTTTACAATGGTGTGTTAGTTTCTGCTTCACAACAAAATGAATCAGTTATATATATACATATGTTCCCATATCTCTTCCCGCTTGCATCTCCCTCCCCCCCACCTTCCCTATCCCACCCCTCCAGGCGGTCACAAAACACCAAGCTGATTTCCCTGTGCTATGCGGTGGCTTCCCATTAGCTATCTACCTCATGTTTGTTAGTGTATATATGTCCATGCCTCTCTCTAGCTTTGTCACATCTCACCCTTCCTCCTCCCCATATCCTCAAGTCCATTCTCAAGTAGGTCTGTGTCTTTATTCCTGCCTTACCCCTAGGTTCTTCATGACATTTTTTTCCCTTAAATTCCATATATATGTGTTAGCATACAGTATTTGTCTTTCTTTCTGACTTACTTCACTCTATATCACAGACTCTAGGTCTATCCACCTCATTACAAATAGCTCAATTTCGTTTCTTTTTATGGCTGAGTAATATTCCATTGTATGTATGTGCTACATATTCTTTATCCATTCATCCATTGACAGACACTTAGGTTGCTTCCATGTACTGGCTATTGTAAATATAGCTGCAATGAAGATTTTTGTACATGACTCTTTTTGAATTTTGGTTTTCTCAGGGTATATGCCCAGTAGTGGGATTGCTGGGTCATATGGTAGTTCTATTTGTAGTTTTTTAAGGAACCTCCATACTGTTCTCCATAGTGGCTGAACCAATTCACATTCCCACCAGCAGTGCAAGAGTGTTCCCTTTTCTCCACACCCTCTCCAGCATTTATTGTTTCTAGATTTTTTGATGATGGCCATTCTGACTGGTGTGAGATGATATCTCATTGTACTTTTGATTTGCATTTCTCTAATGATTAATGATCTTGAGCATTCTTTCATGTGCTTGTTGGCAGTCTGTATATCTTCTTTGGAGAAATATCTATTTAGGTCTTCTGCCCATTTTTGGATTGGGTTGTTTGATTTTTTTTTTATTGAGCTGCATGAGCTGCTTGTAAATTTTTGAAATTAATCCTTTGTCAGTTGCTCCATTTGCAAATATATTCTCCCATTCTGATGGTTGTCTTTTGGTCTTGTTTATGGTTTCCTTTGCTGTGCAAAAGCTTTGAAGTTTATTACGTCCCATTTGGTTTTTTTTTTTTTTTTATTTCCATTTCTCTAGGAGGTGGGTCAAAAAGGATCTTGCTGTGATTTATGTCATAGAGTGTTCTGCCTATGTTTTCCTCTAAGCGTTTGATAGTTTCTGGCCTTACATTTAGGTCTTTAATCCATTTTGAGCTTATTTTTGTGTATGGTGTTAGGGAGTGATCTAGTTTCATACTTTTACATGTACCTGTCCAGTTTTCCCAGCACCTCTTATTGAAGAGGCTATCCTTTCTCCACTGTACATTCCTGCCTCCTTTATCAAAGATAAGGTGACCATATGTGCATGGGTATATCTCTGGTCTTTCTATCCTGTTCCATTGATCTATCTTTCTGTTTTTGTACCACTACCATATTGTCTTGATTACTGTAGCTTTGTAGTATAGTCTGAAGTCTGGGAGCCTGATTCCTCCAGCTCTGTTTTTCATTCTCAAGATTGCTTTGGCTATTTGGAGTCTTCTGTGTTTCCATACAACTTGTGAAATTTTTTGTTCTAGTTCTGGGAAAAATGTCAGTCGTAGTTTGATAGGGATTGCATTGAATCTGTAGATTGCTTTGGGTAGTAGATTCATTTTCACAATGTTGATTCTTCCCATCCAAGAACATGGTATATCTCTCCATCTATTTGTATCATCTTTAATTTCTTTCATCAGTGTCTTATAATTTTCTGCAGGACTTTTGTTTCTTTAGGTAGGTTTACCCCTAGATATTTTATTCTTTTTGTTGCAATGGTAAATGGGAGGGTTTTCTTGAGTACACTTTCAGATTTTTCATCATTAGTGTATAGAAATGCCAGAGATTTCTGTGCATTAATTTTGTATCCTGTTACTTTACCAAATTCATTGATTAGTTCTAGTAGTTTTCTGGTAGCATCTTTAGGATTCTCTATGTATAGTATCATGTCATCTGCAAATAGTGAGAGCTTTACTTCTTCTTTTCTGATTTGGATTCCTTTTATTTCCTTTTCTTCTCCGATTGCTGTGGCTAAAACTTCCAACACTATGTTGAATAATAGTGGTGAGGGTAGGCAACCTTGTCTTTTTCCTGATCTTAGTGTAAATGCTTTCTGTTTTTCACCATTGAGGATGATGTTTGCTGTGGGCTTGTCATATATGGCCTTTATTATGTTGAGGAAAGTTCCCTCTATGCCTAATTTCTGCAGGGTTTTTATCATAAATGGGTGTTGAATTTCATCAAAAGTTTTTTCTGCATCTATTGAGATGATCATATGGTTTTTCTCCTTCAATTTGTTAATATGGTGTATCACATTGATTGATTTGCATATATTGAAGAATCCTTGCATTCCTGGAATAAACCACACTTGATCATGGTGTATGATACTTTTAATGTGCTGTTGGATTCTGTTTGTTAATATTTTGTTGAGGATTTTTGCATCTATGTTCATCAGTGATTTGGCCTGTAGTTTTCTTTCTTTGTGGCATCCTTGTCTGGTTTTGGTATCAGGGTGATGGTGGCCTTGTAGAATGAGTTTGGGAATGTTCCTCCTTCTGCTGTATTTTGGAAGAGTTTGAGAAGGATAGGTGTTAGCTCTTCTCTAAATGTTTGACAGCATTCGCCTATGAAGCCATCTGGTCCTGAACTTCTGTTTGTTGGAAGATTTTTAATCACAGTTTCAATTTCAGTGTTTGTGATTGGTCTGTTCATATTTTCTATTTCTTCCTGATTCAGTCTTGGCAGTCTGTGCCTTTCTAAGCATTTGTCCATTTCTTCCAGGTTGTCCACTTTATTGGCATAGAGTAGCTTGTAGTAATCTCTCATGATCCTTTGCTTTTCTCCACTGTCAGTTGTTACTTCTCCTTTTCCACTTCTAATTCTATTGATTTGAGTCTTCTTCCCTTTTTTTCTTGATGAGTCTGGTGAATGGTTTATCAATTTTCTTTATCTTCTCAAAGAACCAACTTTTAGTTTTATTGATATTTGCTATCGTTTCCTTCATTTCTTTTTCATTTATTTCTGATCTGATTTTTATGATTTCTTTCCTTCTGCTAACTTTGGGGTTTTTTTTGTTCTTCTTTCTCTAATTGCTTTAGGTGCAAGGTTAGGTTGTTTATTCGAGATCTTTCCTGTTTCTTAAGGTAGGAGTGTATTGCTATAAACTTCTCTCTTAGAAGTGCTTTTGCTGCATCCCATAGGTTTTGGGTCGTCGTGTCTCCATTGTCATTTGTTTCTAAGTATTTTTTGTTTTCCTCTTTGATTTATTCAGTGATCACTTGGTTATTAAGTTGTGTATTGTTTAGCCTCCATGTGTTTGTATTTTTTACAGATCTTTTCCTGTAATTAATATCTAGTCTCATAGCATTGTGGTCGGAAAAGATACTTGATACAATTTCAATTTTCTTAAATTTACCAAGGCTTGATTTGATCCCAAGATATGATCTATCCTGGAGAATATTCCATGAGCACTAGAGAAAAATATGTATTCTGTTGTTTTTGGATGGAATGTCCTATAAATATCAATTAAGTCCATCTTGTTTAATGTATCATTTAAAGCTTGTGTTTCCTTATTTATTTTCATTTTGGATGATCTGTCCATTGGTGAAAGTGGGGTGTTAAAGTCCCCTAATATGAATGTGTTACTGTCGATTTCCCCTTTTATGGCTGTTAGTATTTGCCTTATGTATTGAGGTGCTCCTATGTTGGGTGCATAAATATTTACAATTGTTATATCTTCTTCTTGGATCGATCCCTTGATCATTATGTAGTGTCCTTCTTTGTCTCTTGTAATAGTCTTTTTTTTAAAGTCTATTTTGTCTGATATGAGAATTGTTACTCCAGCTTTCTTTTGGTTTCCATTTGCATGGAATATCTTTTTCCATCCCCTTACTTTCAGTCTGTATGTGTCTCTAGGTCTGAAGTGGGTCTCTTGTAGACAGCAAATATATGGGTCTTGTTTTTGTATCTATTCAGCCAATCTGTGTCTTTTGGTGGGAGCATTTAGTCCATTTACATTTAAGGTAATTATCAATATGTATGTTCCTATTCCCATTTTCTTAATTGTTTTGGGTTTGTTATTGTAGGTCTTTTCCTTCTCTTGTGTTTCTTGCCTAGAGAAGTTCCTTTAGCAGTTGTTGTAGAGCTGGTTTGGTGGTGCTGAACTCTCTCATCTTTTGCTTGTCTGTAAAGGTTTTAATTTCTCCATCAAATCTGAATGAGATCCTTACTGGGTAGAGTAATCTTGGTTGCAGGTTTTTCTCCTTCATCATTTTCAGTATGTCCTGCCACTCCCTTCTGGCTCTCAGCGTTTCTGCTGAAAGATCAGCTGTTAACCTTATGGGGATTCCCTTGTGTGTTATTTGTTGTTTTTCCCTTGCTGCTTTTAATATGTTTTATTTGTATTTAATTTTTGACAGTTTGATTAATATGTGTCTTGGCATATTTCTCCTTGGATTTATCCTGTATGGGACACTCTGTGCTTCCTGGACTTGATTAACTATTTCCTTTCTCATATTAGGGAAGTTTTCAACTATAATCTCTTCAAATATTTTCTGTCCCTTTTTTTTTCTCTTCTTCTTCTGGAACCCCTATAATTCAAACGTTGGTGCGTTTAATGTTGTCCCCATGGTCTCTGAAACTGTCCTCAATTTTTTCATTCTTTTCTCTTTTTTCTGCTCTGCAGTAGTTATTTCCACTCTTTTATCTTCCAGGTCACTTATCCATTCTTCTGCCTCAGTTATTCTGCTATTGATCCCATCTAGAGTATTTTTCATTTCATTTATTATGTTGTTGAGCATTGTTTGTTTCATCTTTAGTTCTTCTAGGTCTGTGTTAAATGTTTCTTGCATTTTGTCTATTCTATTTCCAAGATTTTGCATCATCTTTACTATCATTATTCTGAGTTCTTTTTCAGGTAGACTGCCTATTTCCTCTTCATTTGTTAGGTCTGGTCAGTTTTTATCTTGCTTCTTATTCTGCTGCGTGTTTTTCTGTCTTCTCATTTTGCTTATCTTACTGTGTTTGGGCTCTTCCTTTTGCAGGCTGCAAGTTCGTAGTTTCCATTGTTTTTGGTGTCTGTCCCCAGTGGCTAAGATTGGTTCAGTGGGTTGTGTAGGCTTCCTGGTGGAGGGGACTAGTGCCTGTGTTCTGGTGGATGAGGCTGGATCTTGTGTTCTGGTGGGCAGGTCCACGTCTGGTGGTGTGTTTTGGGGTGTCTGTTGACTTACTATGATTTTGGGCAGCCTCTCTGCTAATGGGTGGAGTTGTGTTCCTGTCTTCCTAGTTGTTTGGCATAGGATGTCCAGCACTGTAGCTTGATGGTCCTTGAGTGAAGCTGGGTGCTGGTGTTGAGATGGAGATCTCTGGGAGATTTTCTCCATTTGATATTATGTGCAACTGGGAGGTCTCTTGTGGACCCGTGTCCTGAAGTTGGCTCTCCCACCTCAGAGGCACACACTAACTCCTGGCTGCAGCACCAAGAGCCTTTCATCCACACAGCTCAGAAGAAAAGGGAGAAAAAGTGGAAAGAAAGAGTTACTAGAAGTAGAAAGAAAGAAAGGATGAAAGAAAGAAGGAAAGAAAGAAAGAAAGAACGAAAGAAAGAAAGGAGGGAGGGAGGGAGGGACGGAGGAGTGATGGAAGGAGAGAAGAAGGAAAAAAAGAAAGAAGATAAAGTAAAATAAAATAAAGTAAGATAAAATATAATAAAGTTATCAAAATAAAAACATAATTATTAAGAGGAAAAAAAAAACACAAAAAACATAAAAACGGATGGAGAGTACCCTGGGACAAATGGTGGAAGCAAAGCTATACAGACAAAATCTCACACAGAAGCATATACATACACACTCACAAAAAGAGGAAAAGGGGAAAAAATCATAAATCTTGCTCTCAATTTGGGATGATTCATTGCCTAAAGGAGAGAAGAAACAAAAGAAAGAATGGAGATAAAGTAAAATTAAATAAAGTTATTAAAATAAAAAGTAATTATTAACAAAAAAATTTAAAAAAAACAAAAACAAAAAACGGACGGATAGAACCCTCGGACAAATGGTGGAAGCAAAGCTATACAGACAAAATCTCACCCAGAAGCATACACATACACACTCACAAAAAAGGAAAAGGGTAAAAATTAATGAATCTTGCTCTCAAAGTCCACCTCCTTAATTTGGGATGATTCATTGTCTATTCATGTATTCCACAGATGCAGGGTACATCAAGTTGATTGTGGAGATTTAATCTGCTGCTTCTGAGGCTGCTGGGAGAGATTTCCCTTTCTCTTCTTTGTTCTCACAGCTCCCAGGGGCTCAGCTTTGGATTTGGCCCCGCCTGTGTGTGTAGGTCACCTGAGGGCGTCTGTTCTTTGCTCAGACAGGACGGGGTTAAAGGAGCCGCTGATTCGGGGGCTCTGACTCACTCAGGCCAGGGGTAGGGAGGATCACGGAGTGCAGGGTGAGCCTGCAGCAGCAGAGGCCAGCGTGACATTGCACCAGCCTGAGGCGCGCCATGTGTTCTCCTGGGGAAGTTGTCCATGGATCCTGGGACCCTGGCAGTGACGGGCTGCACAGGCTCCCCGGAAGGGGGGTGTGGATAGTGACCTGTGCTCGCACACAGGCTTCTTGGTGGTGGCAGCAGCAGCCTTAGCGTCTCATGTCAGTTTCGGGTCCGGGCTTTTAGCCGTGGCTCATGCCCATCTCTGGAGCTCCTTTAAGCAACGCTCTTAATCCCCTCTCCTCGCACACCAGTAAACAAAGAGGGAAGAAAAAGTTTCTAGCCTCTTCGGCAGGTCCAGACTTTTCCCCCGACTCCCTCCCGGCCAGCCATGGTGCACTAACCCCCTGCAGGCTGTGTTCACACCGCCAACCCCAGTCCTCTCCCTGCACTCTGACCGAAGCCCGAGCCTCAGCTCCCAGCCCTGCCCACTCCGGCTGGGGAGCAGACAAGCCTCTCGGGCTGGTGAGTGCCAGTAGGCACCAATCCTCTGTGCGGGAATCTCTCCACTTTGCCCTCTGCACCCCTGTTGCTGTGCTCTCCTCTGCGGCTCCGAAGCTCCCCCCCTCTGCCACCTGCAGTCTGTGCCCGCGAAGGGGCTCCCTAGTGTGTGGAAACCTTTCCTCCTTCACAGCTCCCTCCCACTGGTGCAGGTCCCGTCCCTATCCTTTTGTCTCTGTTTATTCTTTTTTTTTTGCCCTACCCAGGTACGTGGGGGGTTTCTTGCCTTTTGGGAGGTCTGAGGTCTTCTGTCAGCATTCAGTAGGTGTTCTGTAGTAGTTGTTCCATGTGTAGATGTATTTCTGGTGTATCTGTGGGAAGGAAGGTGATCTCTGCGTCTTACTCTTCCGCCATCTTCCCGGAAGTCTCTATATTACTCTTTTACAGATGATAAACTAACTTGAGAACAAGGGTTAAGTACTTTATTTTTGCATCCTTTAAACACAGAGATTTTCCACTTAATAGATGCTGTGGCAAAAACTTTTGGTTACTTAAACAATGGCTTTGTTCTTTAATTTATAGAATCTCAAATCTGTTCATTAAGCAATATACCCAAGGCTAGGAGATAAATCATGAATTTTCTATACCCATCATGGTAATCCCATAGAGTTTTCATGGTGATTTCCATTAGCAGGGTTCAGAAAACTTTTTCTCTAAAGGACCAGAGAGTAAATAATTTTGGGCTTTGAAGACCATACAGTCTCTATCACAACTACTCAACTCTGCTATTGTAGTTGGAAAACAGCCATAGATTACACATAAATGAATAAGTATGTCTGTATTCCAATGATACTTTATCTGAAAAAAACAGGTGGGAACAGATTTGACCTAAGCACTAAAGTTTACTGACTGGTGGTATAGAGTTTGTATATGACACACTTTTGACCAATGACATATAAGCTGAAATCTGTTTGAGGGTCTTCTAGAAAGATATTTTTCTTGGTTAAAAAAAAAGAGAGAGAGAGATCACCATAGAAAGACTTTTTTCTCCTTCATGCTTTGGACAAGGAACAAGGGCAGACCTTCTGTGAACATGAGGTAATAAGTCTGAGGATAAAAGCCAATGTATTGAGAACAAAACAATGGGAGAGAAGAATGAAAATATCTTAAATACTTGATATATCATTGTGTCATTGAATTAACTTGGAACTGCCAACAACTGTTTTTATTTTAGATACAATCATTGACTGTCTTCATTGAATAAATGACTGATTCTCAGGTGTTTAGTTACTTATAGTCAAAGCACCCTAACCAATCAGAAGCTCAATATGTGTTTCAGGAACATTAAAACATTAAGATCGTAAAATGCAAAGAGAGGTTAAATATGGGATGTTTTAGTTATAGAAAACAATAAGACAAAATCTAGAATTTTCAGGCAATAAAATAGTATAAGTAATAGTATAGTATAATAGTATAAGTATCAAATAGTATAAGTAATAAATGATGCATATGGATATTAAAATATATAAGCAAAAATTTAAAAAGATCATGAGTAATGTTAATTTCTATAAATTGTTAGAATATAAAGCAGAGAGCATCACTGCACACAGATTAAAACAAATATAAGACAAAGTGTTTTAAGTTAAACTATAAGAGAATTCTCCTGGTGGAAACTGGAAAGTTTTTTGATTGTGTAATGATGGAAGTATGCCTCATTTTTCATCTCTTCCACCTCCAAAGAAAAAAAGACTTAAAATTCATTAATTGACACTTGCATCTGTGTACACCTCTTTTGCTCTGAATTGAAGTCTCTCAGCTATCTTTTAAAAATGATTTTTAGGTTTGGCATATAATTTGCATTTTTGAAGTGTACTTTGTGTAAAGGGGGAAAGTGAATGTCTACATGCTGCAGAGGAGAAAAAAAGCCCCACACCCACTGCTGTAACTCAAACAATGGGACATAATTTGAGTTAAAATCTGAGATTTGGCTGAAACTAGGTAATTATTTAATTATATCTTTTAACCCCCAAAGGTAGAAATTAACTGCTTTTTTTTTGCTGGGTCTTATTTTATAATTTCTGAATTCAGCCCCATCTTAGAGCACAACTAAAATATACAATAGATTAAACTCTTTCATAAAATTCTTTAGGATAAAATATCTAAGTATATTAGTTAGAAGAAGAACAAGAGAAGGAAGAGAATAACTATCTATTTCAGCCATCTTTCTTTGTGCTACCCTCTA